CAACAATCTCCCCAAATAGGCAGCCAAGCTGGTACCAGCATTAATGCATAATATGGAGGGTCAAAGTTCCCTTTTGATTTAAGCCTCAGTTCTCTTAAATCTTATAAGTGTAAATCATTGATTTTCATGGGGGATCAACAAAACTTTTCATGCTATTTTAATCTGACCTTATTCAGTCTTGTTCCCAGGGGATACAGGCTTTTGGGAGATGTTTGATTTGCATCCTCATTTATATTATTAGTTGTACAAGTTCTTTGTGGTTTGGCCTGTAATAAGAGTCTTCTCAGATCATCAGATTGTCATACGATTTGTTCAGAAGTTGAGTATGTATATGTTGTAGCTCAATTTTATACATGGTTCAAATTTTATTTTCCTTTGTTCTCGGTCATGTTAATGTATGATAATGAGTTTGAAACAAAGGAAATTAAAATTTGAACTAAGGATAAATTTGAACTGGTCAGATGGTATGCAATTAGAGAGAATGTGATTTTATTATTGCTGGTCATACTTTTGGGCTCTGTGCTGTCAATGGTTAGTGCTTTTTTGTTTTTGACCATAATAGAGTATTGAAATTTATCATAAAAATTTCCACATCATAAACTATATCTGATGATAATCCAAGACTAATGAATGAAAAGAAGTTTTTATACTCAGATAACATCTGTAGTGGTAACGTTATATTACTTTTCTTTACTTGACATTGACCCTTTTGCCTCCAGCATCCTTCACTAAACACAGGCGTTCTATGTGTACAAGAGTTATTTTTTGGATGGGTGCGTTGAGATCGGGCACTGATGAGTAACTCACTATTTTCAATTTTGTCAAAGACTCAAAGAGACTGTGAGCCACTGTACTCAGATTATGGTGAATGAAAGGCTGGAAATGAACTTTTTGTATCAGTTCATAGCTCAGGGGGTCTGTTGGAAAAGTAAATAGGTTCACTCAAGGTTCAATAGGACCATTAAATTTCACAACGCGGACTGTACTTACACCATAATACCAAGTGAGGATTTCCTTCAAGCAAAGCACAAGGTCATCTAGGCCATGACGCTAGGCGCGCGTGCATCAGTGCGTCACGCGTGAGTCACACTCACACCGTTAGTAACGCCAGATCACGCTCACAAAATTCTAACTGGGTCCACTTCTAGGAAATTTTTTACAACGCTTTCTTGTATACTTTTCTTTAACAAGCACTCGAACAGTTTTATAAAAGGTTTACTAAAGTTGTATTTTGACATGTTATTCAATGATGAAGAGTGTTTATGTGACAAAGATTATTAATCACGTAGCTCCTTTTTCTGCCTTTAAAAGCACACACAACCCACAATTCCCCTATTTGCTCCGACGAAGGGCTAACGCTCGAAACGTCGGCTTTTACAATCGTAACGGTGGCCAAACTACCATTTCAACTTTGTTGATATATTCAAAGATTAAGGGCTTCTTCCTGGTACTGTAATTAATTTTTTCTTTCTCATCTACGAGGTCTCGTAAAAAATGACGTGACCAAAGCGTCACAAATGTAATGGCACGCAATGTGTGCAAATAAGAAAAGATTCACAAATAAAAACTAAACAAAATGGCAACGTTCAGTCGCGACATTCTCCCGCCAGTGTCCAATTAATAATGACTTGCATCTGCCTCCGCTGTTTCTTACTGGAAATTTCTTTTTCTGCACAAGTACACAAGGTAAAACAGGATTTGCACGAGAAATGAGAAAATTATGCTTTGCCACCTCCAGTTGGAGGGATGCATCGGTCACTTCACCTCCTATATAACCCGGCAAACAATAACAAGTAGGGGAAGTGTGAAATGGAAATCTCAGTGGTGTACTTTGCGAAATCTCTACCATGTTGTGGAGAAATCAACATGTCGGCTTTTTGAAAAGAGAATTGGGCCTTAAACCAAGCAAATCCGTATTTGAAAAGTTATCTGGTGCTATAGCTGTGTTGTATATAAGGTGTCAAGGTCCATCAGCAGGGAAATACGACAGTCTCTTGCCACTTCCCTTTTTTTTAAAGCAAAAAGCTTTAATGATGGGGTGACTTAAAAAAAAAACAACTTTTGATTAAGTTCTGAGCATTAATGTAATAATAGTTGACAATTATTCAACGAGGTGGGGGTGAATAGTGGTGGAAGCCAGTATTCACCACATTTACCGACTCTGATGTGAATAATTGTTTTGGTATAATTTATACCACACAGAAAGCACAAAAACTAGTTTATTTCTGTCAATATACTAAAAAACTGTCGGAAATTAAATTGTTGATGCGCAATTTTGTCTCTTCGGCTGCTCGCGAAGTGAATAGATATATCTTATTAACCAAGCGCGAGGGCCGTACTGGGAGAATATCGGCCCGAGGTCTTGACAGTACGGACCGAGCGCAGCGAGTTCCGTAC